CCCGCCACTGGAACCTGCCTCCACGTGACCGCGCTCACAGCACCCCCTCCACACGCCTCGCGCCCCAGCCCACCCGTGCCCGGCCTGGGCCCCTCTTCGCGCCCGCCGCTGGCGCCTGGCCCCAGGCTCCGGGGGAGGCCGCCGGCTTCGCTTCCCGCTTGGCGCCCGCCTGGCTCATGGCAGCGGCAAGCGTGGATCTAATCTTCAGCTGATTAAATGTCCCTCATTAATGAGTTTCTTTAATTAATGAAGTTTTTGGGTCTGCTCCACTTGCTTTATTCCAGCCACACTCTGCCTCCTCAGCACAAACGGCCGTTTCCTCCGGGTAATTGAGGGAGCCGCGGCCCTTCCTGCCGACGCTGCACTTTGCTGATTGCGCCTGTCAACTCGGGGCTGACAACTCCATTTTTAAACATTTCTTCTCCAGAATCCACGGGCACATGTGTGCTCGCAGAGACAGGCCGCAGCCGCCCTGGTCACGGCGGCACATGCATGCACATGCACACATGCAGGCATGCTCGTGTGGCCCCGTGTCATCTCTGGGGACCCTGGGTGCACGTGGCTGAGCGCACACACCAGGCACACTCTTGTGTGGGGTACCCTGGAACGCACATGACACGCCTGCAGACCTGTGTGCAACACATCACACTCACAAGTGATGCCTGCACATAGCACGGGCCCTCACTCCGTGCACACTCACTCCTGAGGCCATGCACACCCACACACCATGTCACGCTGTGTCCAGCGACCAAGCGGGCCCCACGCACACCTCGCCCACACGCACACACTCTCACAGTCCCGCCTGGGTGCATGCTCATGCCCACGTTCACATTCACGCCTCCCACGTGCAGTGTGCACACACCCGGGCCACACAGAGAGCGCCAGCGGGGGCCGGGAAAGCACAAACAGCAAACCTATGCCAGGCGACCCCTCCTGCCTCGCCACGGAAGAACACACCAGGTGGCCCCGGCCCCATGTCCACCTGTTGTCCCAGTGACCCCACCCGGTTGCCCCTGGGCTGCCGGCTCTGCTGTGACCAGGTCCTAGCTCTGGGCTCCGGGGCCTGGGAAGTGATTCACTCCCTTTCATCGGGTCAGGAAAAGCTTCCTGAATTAAAAACATTTATCTTCTCCTGCTGCCGAGAATGATGGTCGGTACCCATGAGGCTGGGCAGTCAGGGGTCACTGCTCTAGAGCCAGGGAGGGGGACGAGCTGCCCTCCTGACTTCCCTGTGGGTGGGGACAGGACGGGACAATTCTTTAGGACCAGGACTTGGCCCTCACAACCAGGTGAAAGCAGCAGACCCTCCCCCAAGGTGGAAATAGGACCTTCTGGGACCAGGCACCGGCCTGGAGAGGCTGTGGCCAGGGCGGGACCAGCGCTCTGCAGTGATGACGCCTGGGGAGGGGAGGGGCGCACAGCCTGTGTCCCTCGAGGACATCTGACCAACTCTTTATCCCAGCTGGACAAGGTGGGTGTCATTGTCCCCACAGTACTGATGGGGAAACTGAGGCCTAGAGGAGCAGAGTAAGGGTCTCCTGGCCCTCTGCTGGTAGGTGGGGGTGGGCTCTGAGCCAGGCTAATCCTGAGTCCCCTGCCCACACTCTGGCTCCATCCCTGCCAGATTGCTCCACCTGGGGCCTCCCTGCGGGTCCTGGTCTCCCTGGAGGGAGGGGGCTCTGCCCACCCAGTTCTGACAGCCACGCACGTCCACGTACCAGATCCTTCCTGCCTCTATTTCACAGGCTCCTCACTACGCTTGAGAGGCTCGCACCACTGCACCCATTGTACAGGTGAGTAAACTGAGGCTCGGTGAGTTTGAGACTTGCCCACAGTCCCACAGCTCCTACACGACTGAGCTTCCTGTCTCTCAGCCCCAGCGCTGGCCCCAGAGGGTGAGGTCAAGGTGCCACCCTCTGGCCAGGCACCAGGTGCACAGCTGTGTCCCCAATGTCTGAGTAGACCAGCAGTGGGGACCAGACATCGATTGGTTGCCTCCTGCACAAGCACTGACTGGGGTCGGGGATCAAGCCTGCAACCGAGGCACGTGCCCTTGGCTGGAATCGAACCTGGGACCCTTCAGTCTGAGGACTGATGCTCTAACCACTGAGCAAAACCAGCCAGGGCGGTTTTATGATGCTTTTGAAATCCTGCCTGGATCAGGGAAATTAAATATTGCAGCTTTTAACTGCAGCCACATGGAAACACAAGCCGGCAGTAAATAAAACTCGGCTCACCACCAGGACACTTTCATTTAACAAAGCCCCGCGCGCCTCATTGTAATTATTCCCAAACTCGGTAAAGGATGGGCCCCTCCACGCCTGGGCCCCTCGATCCATCATTTCCCCTGAGGCTGGGCCCACGGGTGACGGTGGCTCTGTCCGGAGACGGGAGGGTCTAAGTGTGGCTCATTATGATTGAGATTAAACTGAAAAATCAATTTTTAATTGAATGTATTCTCTGAACAGGCCCTGCTGCCCATGGCTGAGCACTAATGGAATTTCCATCCTAGGCAGCCCCTTCTCTGTGACACCCCTCCCTGACCTGCTGACCCCTGAGGACTGACCAGGTGGCCAGATCTCCTGACACTAGGGCTGCAACCCGACAGCTTCAGAGGGCTAGGTGGCCAGACCATTCTCTGAGGAGTGTGCAGGTGGGGAGGGGTGTGCAGGTGGGGAGGGGAGTGCAGGTGGGGAGGGGTGTGCAGGTGGGGAGGGGTGTGCAGGTGGGGAGGGGAGTGCAGGTGGGG